TTTAGTTTTTTTATTGGTTCACTATATAGTACTGTGAATAGCTCAGATGTGTAGGCCTTGACTTCAACATAGTCATTTCTGTGACCAGTCACTAGCTAATCACTCAGTTATTTCAATGCTAAATTCGCCTAGTTATTTCAATGCTAAATTCTCCTGTTTGATTTGTACTAAGTGCCTCGGTGAATGTGTATGCTCTGACTTTAACGTAGCTATTTCTGTGACCAGTTACAAGCTAATCACTCAGCTATTTCAATGCTAAATTCTATGCTAATTCCTTTGTCAAGGGGTGCCTCTGCGGATGTGTATGCTTTAACTTAGCTATTTCAATGCTAAATTCTATGCTAATTCCTTTATCAAGGGGTGCCTCTGCGGATGTGTATGCTTTAACTTTTAACATAGCTATTTCTGTGACCAGTAACAAGCTAATCATTCAGCCATTTCAATGCTAAATTATATGCTAATTCCTTTGTCTAGGCGCTTTGTTTCCTCTCACACAGCTTAAAGGCCGTGATCTGAACGTGGCTCTTTCACTCCAGCGCTGTCCTACCAGACAGTCTCGTCCCTTCACCTGATGAAGGCCGCTTGTGTTGTGGCCGAAACGTCGTGAGAATATTATTGTGTTATTTTATTTTATCAATTTATTATTTTATTCTCATTCTACGTGACTTTACCGAAAGAACCAAAGAAGAAAAAGGAATAATCCCCTGTGGGCTGGTGTAACCGGGAGGTTCCTACCAGTATAACTATCCTTAAACCAAGGAAATGTTGTAACCCATTGTGTTAACGAATGTGAATTAAAACATGTTTAAAAAAAAACGCGCAGTGGTTTGAATGCCGTGCTAAGGAGACGTGCATACATTTGTTTTGCATTACAGCAGTTTATAAATAATACGAAAACTTAAAAAAAAATGTATACACATTCCGTCGTCCGAGAGGTTTCACGACTGCGGAGGAGATGGAACGACGGAATCAGTTCACGTGAGGGAGGCATTCATCATCAGCAGTGGATAGACACTGAACGCTGCTGATTGTTGTTTGGATCAGGCTGCTATCGGCGTAATTATGTTAGCGTTTAACACACTAATTACTACCGTACAACGGCGAAGCTCGTGTCCACAGTCCAGCGGTGCTGCTAATTACGATGCCAATGCATTGGTTGTGTGTGGGTCAATGATATAACTTGTTATTGTAATTGTGAAAGCACGTATAACGCACACGTATGATAGGCCGTCATCCAGCGGCGGATAAACAGCGGCTGCTAATTTTGTTTGAAATCGGGCGACTGTCGGGTGAAATAATTGTCGCCATTTAACCACAGTAATGTCTGCGGTGATGTTGACGAGGGACGGCCGTCATCCAAGCAGTCGACAAACAATGGCTGATGTTCGGACGAGGCGGCGAACGGTGAAAGAATTGGTGCATGTCATCACAGCAATGACTGCAGCGATGTTGATGATGAGGGATGGGGGCGCGGCGGGGGGGGGGGTACGAGGATCCATCATCGAGCAGTGGCATCGATGCTGCCAGATCGTGCGCGAATTTGCTGCGGATAAAGCCCTTGCGCGAGCGCGTTAAAGACAAGAGCGCGAAGTTCGTGACGAATGACCACGGGCCTCGTGGCGCAACGGTAGCGCGTCTGACTCCAGATCAGAAGGTTGCGTGTTCAAATCACGTCGGGGTCACATTGTTTGTGGATAACAATATTTTTTTTGGTAAACAAAACCACGGTTAATAAAAGAAACCGCCCGGCGCACCCGTCGGCAAACACTTAACTAAAATGTATATAAGGCGACGTTTTTGGACTCTTCTTAACACTGCGTACTGTGCTTTTTGCCTCGGCTATTTAAATAACTAGAACAGCGCGATCTAGTGGCGGTAGTTAAGATTACCCCTTGAAGGATGCAAACTCGAGTTCATATAGGCGATTGAGATGTGTGCAATTGTGGCCAATTAGACAACTTCACGTTTCAGTTTCATTTATTTGGTATAGCCCTGTGAGCCATTCGGCTCTTGAATCGGGTGCAACCGCAACAAACGAAAAACATGACCAAGAAAACATCTTAAAGTGTTGCGGTTGCACCCGAAAAATCCAGGAAAAAAACAGCAAAAATCTTCCAGAAAAAGCAAGTCAAGCAACAACAATCACAAGACAACTTAGATTAAGGCCATCATTCTAACTCCGTACTACAACAAAAAAAACATGGCCAAACAAAAAAAAAACGTTTTCGAAATCACCAAAATAAAGCCATAAAAGCAATGTAACAGTGACCATGGTTTTTTTTTTGTTTAGTTTAGTTTCATTTATTTGGTATAGCTCTTTGAGCCATTCGGCTCTTGAATCGGGTGCAACCGCAACAAACAAAAAACAAAAATATGAACAAGAAAACATCTTTAAGTGACTATGTGACTGTGCAAACAGAAAATACAGGAAAAAACAACAAGACATTCCAGAAAAAGCGCCGTACACCAACGCTGTGTGCAAAAATCCCAGTGGGATGCAAGTCAAACAACAACAACAACCACAAGACAACTTAGATTAAGGCCATCAGTCTAACTCCGTACTACAACAAACAAACATGGCCAAACCAAAAAACTTTTTGAAATCACCAAAATAAAGCCATAAAAGCAATGTAAGAGTGATCATAGTTAACTGTGACCGAATTTTCACAATAAACGACATAAACAACATGTACCACCAAACCCTACAGCCATAGCTGGCTGCATGAGTTGCTCCACAATAGCAGGAGCATCAGTCGGAGTATCAAATTTTTAAATGCACCTTTAAGATCAGCACACTAAATCAAAATAAAGATAATACTTTGCAGCGGTCATCCGGAGCGAAACATTTTATTTTATTTTAGGCCACTGAAAAGCAGTGGCAGCTAGGGGTGTACAACTCCTCTAGAGCAGTTTTGAGTGAATATCTCATAAGTAGTGATTCAAGTTGCAGTTTATTGGCAATAGCATTCCAGACCCTGGGGGCATCAATAGCAAAGGCCCTTCCTCCATTATTCGTACCGCAATAGGGAATGTGAAGCTGGTAAATGAGCGAAGACCTTAGGTCAAATTTGTTCTTTGAAACAGAGAGGAGATCCAGCAGGTAGTCGGCGGATTTTTTTGTAAGTACATAGTGAATAAATAAGATCTGGTGCACAAGCCGTCGAACATTAAGAGATGTTAAGTTTGACCCAATGTAGAGATCACAGTGGTGAGTCCTATATGGGCAATTCAATGTAAATATGCCGTGACCGAAATTTCACAATAAACGACGTAAACAACATGTATGTTGACCCTCTGCAGCGTTTGATCTTTCATCCCCAGATTAAAACAGCAACCCTTATAGGACATAAACTTTGCCAAACATCACCGTTGATTTTTTTTTATTTAAAGCTTTCGTGACTGCAGGGTTCTTTCGGTAAAGTTACGTAGAAGGGAAACAATAAAATATTATATTATTTGTCTTTTGTCAACGTGACACTTTTTTTGCTGATTGGCCGTGTCGGGTGGTGGAGGGTTACGACACATTTATAAATAAACGCGATCTAACCCAAAAATCCCCCCCCAAAAACCTTTATTATGAATAAAACAATAAAATTCTCACGACGTTTCGACTGCAACACAAGCAATCATCATCAGGTGTGAAAACCACAGCAAGAAAATTTGAAAAAAGTGGCGGTTATTTTTAACGTTAGCACCACGGAGAGAGATTTGACAGTTTGTTCAGATGGACGAGTCCATCTATGTTCGGAAAAGAGGAGGGGGGAGACAAAAAATAATGGATGCGGTCTGAAAGCCACCTTAAGCGTGATCAATCAATTAAGACCCGAAATGGTTTATCAAATCCTTCCCATGATTGCTAAGCCAGAATCCATCTTCTCGGTTGAAATTGTCCCTGTGTTTGTATATGTGGATAGCCTCATGAACGAATCTCTCATGGTAGCCAGATGGCTTGCAAATAACCTCTGTCTTGGAGAAGTCAATGTCATGCGAACCTACTGAATTATAACAGTGATCTGCCACAGAAAGAACCAAGAATATCACCGTTGATAAAGATTTTCAGTTAACTTTGTTATTATTGGGTGCTTTGCTTAAATGCCTCAGCATCTCTGAGGGCCAGTAGGGGCAAATGTAACAGAGCAAATATTTCATTTCCCCCTACTGGTAGAATTACTTAAACATTTTTTATTTATATACAAAACAAACTCTTATTCCGGAAAACATTAAGCAGTTTCACCCCTCTCCTCACCATGATAAGCCACTACGTTGAGCTATCATTTGTGGCCAGGTCGCTTCTGAAAAATAACTTAATAGCTCAGTGGGCTTTACCTGATAAACTAACAATAATATATTAGATTTATTTGTGTATATATTTTAAGTTATTTTTTTTATCTTTCCTATACATTGCGCTTATATCGTGTTTTTGTATTGTTTGTTGTAACGTTCTGACGCGACACTACGGGCATCTATGAAAAAGAGCTTTATAGCTCATCTGATTATTTATACTGCTCCAGTATAAATAAACATTCTGATTTGAAGGAACCATTATTGTATTGAGGAAATGCATGCGCTTAAAATTGTAATAATATATCATTAGTTATAAAGTATAGTGCATTAAATGTAATAATTATAAGTTATAAGTTATAATACTGGATTATATTCTAAAATATATTATTGAAATATAATTTAATTTTACAATTTAAATATTAAAGTTCTAATTTAATTAAAAAAAATGTAATATTGCAATTATTATGTAATTCAAATATTGTTATATATTGTAATTATAACATTGTTATTAGTTACAAAATATAGCAAATCAAATACAATAATTATAGTCTAATACAGGATTATAAAATTAAGTATAATAATTACATAACCATATTTAAATTATATTATAATTTTACGCCACGCAAACCCCGCATTCACGAGCGTCATCAACGGACGTCGACGGCTCGACCAATGAGAGCGCGCGCGCGCCTTCGAACGCGCGCGGGCGACCAATGGGAAGCGAGGCCTGCGGACATTTTGAATACGCGGTCTGGTGCGGGCGGGTAAAGACGTCTGCATTGTTGTCGCCTCGCAGTTATTTATTACATTTATTACACCCTCACCGCTAAACCCCCACTACTCCTCAACCCGCCTCATATAATTATTTATTTCCCGCTTCGATCGCAATAAAAAAACGTTGTTTTTGCGAGTCGAAGAGGAACGTCCCCGTAGGAAGCGCCTCCTCGTGGTTGAATCGCCGCTTCGTGAGGGGTGGTGGTGGTGGTGTTATTTTTTACTGGCGCTTAAAAGAAGGCGGTAGGGGAGAGAAAGAGAGAGACGCGCGCGCTAAGATGTCGGGTTCCGCCGTGGTTGAAGATCCAGCCTCGCTCACCAAGGAGAGACTCAAGTCGGAGCTACTCGCGCACAAGGTTCGGGTTTTTTTTTTAGTATGCCTCCCCTCTTGTCATCTCCTCCCCATTACCACCCATCACCTCTCCCCCTCTTTTCCCGCCAGGCTGATGCGTCCCCTTCTCTGTATCGCCACCCCATCGCCAAGCCTCTCTCCCACACTCCTCAGCCGCCTCGCTTGGGCCCTGGTGTTGTCACCAGGGGTCCGCATTAACCCCCCCATGGAACTTGCTATGTTGTGCATCCCGACTTAAACAACCACCGTTGGGTTGGGGAATGGGAGATACGGTCCTTAAATTATTACGATGCTTATTCTATATATACAAGCATGGATTGGTGCCACACTTGAGTCGAATGAAATTGGTTCATAATGGATGGACTTTAATATTCGCGGTAACGTTTAACAACCATGGTTTTCGGAAGATAATGTGACACAGGCTCTTTAAGGACGCCGCTTACATTTCCACGCAGTTTCGCACCGCGGTTGAGTTGTAGGTCCTTAAAAGATGGAGTTTTCTGTGCAATCCAGACTCTTGAACACCACGTTTGGGTTTTGGTAATGTGAGACGGACGATTTTAGGGATGGATACGTCTTTTGCTGTTGACGCAGATAGATGTGACACCGCGGTTGGGTTGGGGGGGGGGTCCTTTAAGGACGACGCAGACGATTTCACGTCACCACTGGGTTGGGTAACACGAGATCTCTCTTAAGGGCCCCCCTCGCTTGAATTGCCCAGTGTGAGACAGACCCTCAAAGGGGGGGGGGGGTGCCGCTTTGTGTGCTTGAACTACACGTAAGGATTTGATACCATTTGAGTGCGATAGGTCATTAAACGACGCCATTTGTGGGTCCTTTGAGTCACCAAGATGAACCCCAATCGCTCACCTATTGTCCGCGTTTGCGGTTTGGCAGTGTGCAAGCAGACTGTATTAAAAGTTGCCACGTCTGGGACTTCCAATTCCCAAGATGAATTCATTCAACATACTTGGCGACTGAGCCTGATTGTGCGATACGATAGTCTGAGATGAACCCTTAAAGGCTGCTGCTTGTTTTTTTTTAAGCTCAACGCCCCGTTGTGCCTCTGGTAGTGCGGTGAAGTTGGTCCTTAAAGGACAACTTCTAGGACCCCACTTATGGCGCTTATAATGTCTGACCTACCACTCCGCACGTAGACGTTTAACACTACATGTGTAGTGTAATATACGGCGTTTAAACGGACGCCGCTTGTGAGTTTTGACATGCTGGATGCTTTGTTTTGTAAATTTGTTTGGAAGTAGTTAGGGATTCATCTTAAAGACCCAACTTGTGAATTTGTTAAAGTTGAAAGCCTCGCTCTGAATGCTGACGCCCAATGGTAACATTGGAATTTAAAGTTCGTGTTGGATAGATCCTTGAAAGACGTACCTCTTTGGGTCAACGAGATCCTCAGTTTTGATGTTGTTGTGGTTTTCACACCTGATGATGATTGCTTGTGTTGCAGTCGAAACGTCGTGAGAATTTTATTTTGTATATTTTTATTTTATTGTTTGCCTTCTACGTGACTTTACTGAAAGAACCAAGAATATGAGATCCTCAGTGCAAATGTACTTAATAAGATATACCCTTGAAAAATGAAAATTCTGGGCCTCCATAACTGTTGTGGTTTTCAGTGAACATCAAACTGCGATTCCGATTGTGTTACGATCAATACATGCTATGAGTTATTTATTTCAAGGGTGCACCGCTTAAATATAAATCCCTCGCTGTCCACTCAAACATCGTATAGCAGCACAATGCAAATTATAACACTGAAATATCTTAACAATCATCCACAAATATAGCTGTGCTTGGCGTTTCCAGCTGTAAACATCTCCACCCTCCATTATATTGACACAACGCTGGGTATATTAACATTGCTTTCAAGTTTATGGACAAGTTTTTGTGGGCACTGTACCGTCCCTCTCCCTGCAAGTCGACTCCAGCTGTGCCCTCTTCTGCCGAATACCCCCTTCAACACCCCTACCCACCCCATCCCTGTCACCGTGCCATCATCGCAGGTGGCGCTGCCCACAGGCGAGCAGAAGAAGGAGGTGTACGTGAAGCTCTACCTGAAGCACGTGACACCCAAGCGGAGCGGTGTGCGAGCCCGGGCCGGCCTGCGTGCCGACTTCTCCAGTGATGAGGAGGAGCAGCAACCCCCACGCGCCTCTCCAAACAGGGTGATTTATCAGAATATTTATTCTGGAGGAATCCGATGAGCTCTAAAGCTTTTTTTTCAACAGATGTCCAGTATTATCATCATGTTGGTGGCATTGCTGCTGATTTTCCTCTGCCTCTGCCATCGTCCCAAGACAAGGCCATGAAGAAGGCTGTCTCTGGTGCAGGCCAATCGGGTTCAAAGACAATGCGTATATAATAAGAGCATGGTTTTTGTTGCATGTTCACCACAAGTACGTGTGGTTAATGCAGACACGATTCCTTGCAAAAGGGTTATATTTGGTGTTTGAACATCTTAACACCTGTTTTATTTGCGAGAAAGGATAACACCTATTATTGTTTTTATCATGGTCTGGAAAGTTCTTCCCACAGACATCTATGCATTTGACTCCCTGCACCTGTTGGAAGTCAAAGGTCAAGACCTTAATTTTTACTTCGGCGTTTGACTAACTGCCTCTTTCTCGCTATAAAATAAAATGCTCACTGTTTCTGCACGGGGTCTTGAGATGCGGTCGTGTTTAGATGCAATAAAGTTCCAAATTGTGTTATGTTTTAAACAGCACAGAAATAATAATGTCACTTAATTACCCAGGGAAGCCGAGCTGAGTTGGCATACAACGTATATTAATATGGAATATTACACTTATGATGCATACATTGCATTGTGTGGTTAGCAATGCATTTTCTAAATAACTGTTCAATTAGTTCATTCGAACCCTGCAGTTTTGTAGACTACATACACTACAATGGGTAAAAAGGTATTCTTGAATTGATTTGTGACCACATCATGAAAATGCATTCAATTAGCCACTTTTGTTTTTAGGCTATTGTTTTGCTAGTGGCAGGAGAGCCACAAACTCACTAATTTGAAGCACAATACCCCAAGGACCGTACAGATATGCTCACAAGCCTACTTAATGTACTGCCTTCCGGGTTTGAGAGTTTCACAAATCTGCACGATCCACAAACTTTTGCCTCCAAAATGCAGGATTACAGGCATGTGATGAGGTAATCGCGGATAATGCTGCTTCCATCACATCTTATTCTTGTGCTAGATTTCACAGCTCTTGTAAAATCAACACCTGATTTCCCAGGTTTGTTCTTAGAGTCATTACTAGTCTGGGTTTAGGTCTTCCCCTTGCTTGCCAAACCCTCAGTGCCTCTCCAATGTCCGTCGCTGTAACCTGCCCTCCCATACTCTCTGCCATGTCCATTCTAACCTTCACTTACCGATTACTTTTACAACTTTTTTCCCATGTTCCCTTCCGAACATAAAAGTGTGTTAGCTCCCTTGTTAAATTATTTGCATCTTATGTCACGGCAGCATCGATGTAATATCCTATCCGCAGTGCTATAATTGATGTAATGTAGGTCTGTCATGAAAGTACTATCGAGACTCGGAGAATTGTAAAGTATTATTTGCTGTAATACAAGTGTCACTTTTATACATGTGTATTTCTGCATTCCATAGATGGTAAACTAATACTATGTTAACGCAACATTCTCCACATTTCCAGTAATTATAATAGGATATGCATAATTGTATTACAGTAATTTAATTACATCTATAATTTCAGTAACGGTGACAGTGTTTAAGTTAGACTCCCATATGGCTTTTAAGCAGTGTTGTGTATGGAGACGTATGCTTTTACTTCCTCATTTCATTCATATTGTTGTCACAGAAAGCCACAGGGGTTTCCTGCTTAGAAATAATCTCGTTCATATCCCGATTACTGTCCAGAAAACACCCCATTCTCATTGTAAGGACAGATCATGCATTCGGACAATCAACTTTGCACAATAACATCATCAACCATGGCTATCATATGTATCATTGTTTGACCATACTTCACCACGGTCGTCATGGTGTGTTCTTTTGAAGGGGGGCCCAGATAACTTATTCAGATATTACCACAGATATTAGCCTTGAATCCAACACAGGTCGCACGTTTCATAGCCACAGTGCTGTAACCACTGTGCCACCACTCCCCCTGAAATCTAATATATGGCCAAAAAATAGTTCCTGAAAATAACAGAGTAATACCAATGCATGGTAGTGTCTGAGATAGAAAGCTCCAGCATAATGTAATACCATGGCATTTGTACTGATCCCAGCCATCAAAACAAAAATTTAAGTCTTGAAACAAGTGCTCACGGGAATGCCATTATCAGCCATTGTCAATCCACAGCTGGATGAAGGTCTCCCCAAGCCATTCCTCATGGTTCCACTCCTTTGTTAATCTTGACCACCTTGCATTGCCATATTACATTCACCTTCAATGTACAGTACAATGTAAACTTGCACATTTCTATATATTATGAAGGCATTAACGTGGCATATATGCATGCGTGCTTGTATTAATCAATTGCAGTACATTTGTATTCATACTGTGCATGCATGCACGAATGGTACGCTCTGTATTAATAGCTACAATTTACCATAACATTTTAATCGGGTAACAGCCCATTGAGATCGAAAATCTTTTTCAAAGGATGCTTGGAGTAGCTGGGAAAACTTGCTCTTTAAAATGCATACACTCGTTACATGATTGCTCATGTTACTTTATTTCTCGTCCTATTTTACTATTCTTAGGAACATGGAGTTGGAGTTTCCAATAAATAATGCATTAGGTTGGTGTAGATTTAATGCTACATGCACGATGCCTAATGCTTTGTGTACCTTACTGATAGTGTTGTGCATTTTATTAGTATGCGAGTACATTGCATTTATACATAAATGAATGTACAATATCCTTTATATGTCAGTCCATTGCTGGGTGACGGTCTCGCCATGCCGACCGAGTCATGTTGGTTACTTGAGCATACTTCACCATGCTGGTCAGTGGGAGTTGGTAAAGGCAGGGATCATAGAGGTATAGTAGAGCAATGTATCTTGATACACTGTCCCCTGTTGCCAGTCACGTAGCCCCGCAGCCTATAACAACCCATTGTGCATGGTGGTGATCCATATTAGCACTGTCCAGGCTCAACGTTGCTTCCTTACGGATACTTTTCGGGGTGATGCAATCCTACAAATGTGTCGCATTTATTTTTATGTGCAGTACTATTTATACGTACACGTTAATATTAAAAAAAAACATCAGAGCTTATCCCAGCTCAAACATTGTGGTGACTCTTCAATGTCCTGCGACTGGGTGGAAATATTCCACGTTTCTTTTCTGGGAAACCTTCCAATAGATTGGATGAACGATGTTTATTTCCTACGGGGTGGTATTTATTTTAATGACCTTCGAGAGTTCGTGGGCCGAGTTGACTCTTGACTGAGTTGAGTGCTCCGAGCAAAGCGCCTGCCGACTACATTCGTACCTACTGGGCAATTTTATAAATTGACCACCCTGACGGTTCAGTCGGTTGTCACAATTCTTGGCCATGATGCAGTTCCAGAATCATATCTTTTGGTCTTGTTTTTTTTTCCATCCTGTTTTAATTGTTTACTGTTTTGTCTTGTTTTCATTATTTAGCTTGCTCTATTAGCCTAATGGTAAGATACAATCTGCGCAAGTTGTGATTGATTATCTTTTTTTGCGGGAAAATAGTGATTTTAATTGAATGAATGCGTCATTACTTTGCCGGTGCACCTGCAGGTGAACTTATTAATATTTAGTATTTTATCACAATTATAACTTTTTATTCTTCTGAAATGTGAAAATGTTCAAAATCCAAAACGCTTTTTTACGCACGTTTGTATCACCCACATAATCAGCCTTAGGTCGGGAAATTGGTTTGTGATTTATGATTGCGCGACACTGACGATCTTAAGTGCATGCTTTGAGGCTACGAAATGGCACATGTCAAACAAATTGACCTCGCGTGCAAGTGACATGTCGCCGTGCACGCTAACTTTCATGTGTCGAGGGTGTGGGCAGAGCTTGTCTACTTGAACCCTGCCAGAGGTGTTCCTTCCTGTGTAATGCGTTGACAGTGTAAAATAATGTTTGGCTTCCCACCGGATGTATGTATGTATAACTGTGGCTTGTAAAAACATTAGAATGCGTCTTCATATGGTCTATATTAAAGGTGTAATTGGTAAATGGCAGTACATGTTAGTTGATCAATTTTATTATTTTTATGGACTCAAAATCTTGTTGATTTTTTTAAACCAAATTTATTATGGATAACATACAAATATTGCACATTATTCATGCAAGGTTAATGTGCAACCGATAATAATGTCCTTCCCTTTGTCAATCCACTGCTGGATGAAGGCCACTATTTATGCTTTGCCAGTCATGAGGAACATACGTATATATATCTATGTTTAATTTCTTTAGCACTACCTGTTAGTGTGGGTTGGTTAGTTGAGGGGAGCGAAGGAGAACAGTTCAAATATCACACGCCACTGATTTTAGCCATGGCCAAGAACACGGCAATTTGTAGCATTTCTCTTGTCAGCAATTGAGTTATGCATCATCCAAATCAGCGCTTTCTATAAAACCGCAGTGGTCTCTTTCTGTGTCGTGGAGCTGTTGAAACTAATTATTGTGGTTAGACATCCGAGATCACAATTAAGTCATTCCTGGCAGCACACCGCACACTTCCAGAATACTGTTGTTTTATCAAGAAACATTTTTTTCATCTCGGGGTCTCACTTCAAAGGCTTTTAAAGCTGAAAAAATGCTTTGTATTAAGCCAATTTTTGTACTGAAGAGATTTGTGTAAATTACTACTGTCGACTTGGATATAAATTTGAAATGTTTTGCATTACTTTATAATGTTCACATCTTCGACACAAGTAAATGATTGTAGATGCAGGTGCAGACCTTCCTTGTTTAAAAAAAAAGCTGAGCAAAAAATGTCCGAAATGCAACTTACTAAAGTTGGCCAGCCAAGCCGGTGGAATGTTTTTGGTCTTTTTTTACTTCAAGATGGATAACATTGGTTGGAATGTCTGATGTTTTACGAAAAATATTTTAACGACAGCTTGCGCAGTAATGAACGCTTTCTATTTACTCCTAACGCAAAAAAATATTCCCGCGTGTATAAAGTATGCGCCGTAAAGATTCGCTTGCTTTCCCCCCACGCTTTGATGAAGTCAGGATTTTGGATCAAGATTAGATTCACGAGTAGATTATTTTTTAACTCGTTTGTACAGCATCGTCTTGTCCCATTTGTCCTGTCGGTACTGCCTCCGTTGTGTTGTCTAACATCGGTCCGATTTTTACAGTCCGTGTCACTTGTACTGTTTGTCTCGTAAGATATCATACCTTGCAATCATCGGCAGTAAGAAAAACAATTTCATACAAAGAATGCGCATACCTTGAAAATAGTCCAATGCAATTTATATATGGGTTTTTCAAAATGTATTTTAACCATATGTGCCCACTGCCGTGCAGTGACATTTATTCATGAATTAAAATCGATTTTGAGGCATGATAAGGCATCTAATTGTTAGCACAACTATTATGATGTTGCTTTACATTTAGGGTCATGGAGCGAAACACAACAAAAAAAACTAAGCAATACAAATGAGATGGTTATTTTATTTTTTACACTTATGGTAAATTGAATCATAATCCTTAATCGTGAAAAATGTTCCAGTTCACTGAGGGAGTGGGATGTATTTTCACATGACTGTGTATGCACTGCCCAACATTGGACCTTTATTTGGCAGTATCAAAGTATGAAAAAACAAAATAGGTTTTATCCCTTTCCGGCAATAAAACAGATGTTAAGATGTTCAACCACCAAATATAAACCTTTTGCAAGGAATCCTATCTGCATTATCCACAAATACTTGTGGTGAACATGCAAACAAACATGGTCTGATCATATGTGCATTGTCTTTTAAACTGATTGGCCTGCACAAGATACATCATTCTTTATGGCATTGTCTCACCAGTGTCAGACAAGAGAACGCCAAAAGGCGAACGGTGGCTCATCGATGAGCCATTGTTTGCATGTTCACCACACGTATGTGTGGTTAATGCAAACAGGATTCTTTGCAAAAGGTTTATATTTGGTGTTTAAACATCTTAACACTTGTTTTATTGCGGAAAGGGTGAAACATTCTTATGTGCTGCCTTTTTGTCAATCTACTGCTGGATGAGAGCTGTATAGGTCGTTGGGGATTATTTGACCATACATCACCATTCTGGTCAGTGCGGGTAGCATGGAAGTAAAACCATAGAGTACAGTACGGAATTTGATGCACCGCCCTCTATTAACAATCTAGGTACACTTTGTACCACATGCCTCATACCAAGCATTTTTTGCATAGAGAGGCACCTCAAAAGTTTATTTTTTGTCTTTTAACTGGGGTGCGTTAATTGGGTTCGAATTGGAGTCATGCTACCTTCGAGAGGAGAATCACGTCTTGGCGGTGTAGGCCACTGCAGATACAGCAGTGTCACCAACATAGCGTGGGTCGTGTGGTCACACGAGACACGTGCATGTGCGTCTGAGCCGAGCCGCTCCCGTTACCCGCACGCCACGTTACCGCTGACCCATCGATGAGCCATTGCCAACCGTCCACTGCCTTTTATGGGCATGAGGCAAGGCAGCAGGGCATGAGGCAAGGCAGCAGGGAGCAGCCCACTCAGACTGTGAATCAGCTCGGTCCACCGAGCCGATTGGTGGGTCAGCAGACCCGTGACCTGCGCGAGACCTCTGATTGGCTGTCTTTTGTCTGTGGGGCTCCCAAGAAATTTCTGAGCGTAAAAAAGGGAAGGTGGTGACAATGGCTGCCCACATGTCACATCTGTGCCAAGTTATATAAACCATTTTGGACTGATGTTGTTGATCCATATGCGATAAAGTGCATCTTCCTTTCTGAAGTCTCCTTTTATTAAGATTCCAAGCATGGCTTTTTTTACGTTCCAATGCACAAATAACAAAATATGAAACTCATTCTTTCCATTGCAAGCGGTTGCAATATAACGATGCAAATAGTGTTGCATTCTTGTCATGTGCTTACTGGAGATGTGAAATCCCATATATACTATATCTCTACATAATTTAGTGATTATACTTAATCGTGTATAAACATACATAAAAAGAGACAATGAAACGGGCTTTAGAACAGTGCTGTTAATATTTCTAAAATTACCACCACATGACAACAAAGACTAGCAGAATGGGCTCATGGCAACTCCTGCTTTAGGAAATTAGACTCTCTTTAAAAGAATGCAAAAATAGATGTGTAAGATTTGTTTCTATTATTTGTACTGGATGTTTGTTATGTAATCTCGTGAAGAATGTTTAAATAAAAAAAACAGCTCACCCTTTGGGTTTGCAGACCACCAAGCACATGATGTATAATAGACTTTGAAGAATGGCCACTATCAAATGACCAGTCTATCTTTTATTGGATTTATATATAATGTGGGCTGGATCCTTCTCTGGTGCTCCTGCATCTGGAATTTCTTACCTACTTAAATATTTCCATTGTAATCTCTGCCTCTTCATGACCTTGTTGACGAACACCAAATACAATCGTCTTCTACTTGGCCTGTGGCCAGAACCGCGATGAGAACTGCGGTAAAAAGGGATTGGTGGATCACACTAATGTTGTGAAACTCCCTTCCCGTGGGCGTCAAGGTGCCATACCCTGGGCCTCACCAGCAGAAGGCAGTACAGCAATTTGACAAATCTCCATTTGTCACCATCTGTACGGGGATTTATGTTGCCCCCCCCCCCCCCACACATGAATGGGTTTTCTTTAGGTGCTCCTGTTTCCACCAACATATATATTCATTAATTGCCTTAACCTCTTATAATTAAAACCCAATGTAGGACTCGACTGAAAACGAGTCCTAGGACTTCTCTGAATAAATAAGTATTTTTTACGACATGTTTGCTGTCTGCTGCACTTGCTTATTTGATTGTATTCTTTCACTTAATTAAATCAACAGGGAAGTGCATGCTTGAAGCACTCTCTATATGTGGAATTGGGGGGAAAAATCAAAGTCTGTCATTTTTTGAGAGTTGCAGATTTATGTTTTTTGGGTCTGCTTTAATTGGAGGTCGTTTTTTTGGGCTTTCTCTTCAAGCCCTGCCTACTTCCTGTTTAGACCTTACCACTCCCTGTTTAGACCCTGCCACTCCTTGTTTAGACCCTTCCCCTTCCTGTTTAGGCCCTTCCTCTTTTGGCTCCACCCCATCCTCTTAAGGCCTTGCCCTTCCCTGCTTAGTCCCCACCCCGATTCTTTTTTTTACCCTGTCCAGACCTCCCATTTACCCCCAGCAACTTTAGGCTCGAGCTTGTTTTGGGCTTGTGTTTGAAGGCACTGCCAATTTTTACCCTGTGGGACTTTCGTCAAGGAGTTGCCAAGTTGACTTGAGTGAGACAGCACGAGTGGGTAGCATGCATACATGTCAACTCCAAAAGTTGAAAATCGGTGAGACCCCCCCCCTCCTGAAAGACATTTGGAAAAACCCAAGAAATTGAGATAGAAACCCAAGAAACTGCGGCACAGAAACATGTCAGTGTGACGCAGGCAAAGGCGAGTCTACCTTTGGAGAAAACGTGGTGGTTGCTTAATGAGTTTGCTTAACAGCAATATGCTCATGTACACCACTTGGTGAACACCCCCAAAGTAAATTATTTAATAATTGCCTTGAATAGTTAGTAGTTCCCCACTGTTTTGTTCATATAAAAAGGTTGCAACTAAACACAACTTTTGGAGCTGACCCTCACTAAGGCTTGATCCATCGGCGGCAGTTGCTGGTGCACTACAATAAACAACCAAAAACGTGCGAATCCATTGCATTTAGAAAAATGGTGAGTTACTGATTCTTGAGAATGACATGTATCAGGTAATGGTGGGGGCATGCAATAGTAGGTAGCGGTGGCTGGGGGACAGTAGGTGTGCCGGGTTAACCACAAAGTCCACGATTCCTCCTCAAGCAACAACATTGACCGTCTTCCAATTTCAACTGGAGCGGCGGGCAATGCTCCCCGCTTCCCCCACTGTCGTAGGGTGGAGTGGCGGGCATAGTGGTTGGCGCACTGTGCTCGAAACCCAGCAGCGTAAATTTCATTCCCGAACATGGTTGATATCAATGGTGAATAACATCGGTACCGAGTCTTTGGCACCCATCTTCGCTTACCAGAACTGACCAGCATGAAGAGTCCTTCAGTAGATTGACAAAAGGGTTACAAATGGCTTTTAGATCTATGATCCCTTTTTGTCACCTCGTAAACGTTAGCTAAGTAGGGTCGTCACAAGTCACAGGTATGGCATACACACTTGTTTGTAAAAATAAGAACTGACATAACCGTACGGTTTTCACTAGGGGGTGGCATTTGACAAACCATAGCATATGCCTTTCTAAACTTGGGTTTCTCAAGTAACGTATAGTTAATCCACTGTAAGCTGCTAATTTGAGTATTTTTTTAAACAAGTTCAAATATCACCAATTTTCTGAGCTTGATCAGACATTACTTTTTTAATAAATACTCTTAAAAAGAAAAATGTACGAAACATAATTGATTGAATTGATAGAACATTAGATATAAATGCAACATTGCCGAAACATGCCGGGGATTGGCACAGCAGTGAACTTGCACAAATTATGCACGTTTCCATTGCGCTTGTGGGACTTGAGTTTTCTGGATTTTCTTTTGAGATAAACACTTTTGGTGGAAGCACATACACACTGCAACCTGAGCCCGGTACATTTTAACCCGATGTCATTGACATCACTAGAGCACTCTGATGGAGTGCCTGGTCATGATTTTAAATTCATTATTTTTATGAATTAACTATAAACTCGGTGTCTGCCCTAGACACACAGCCTAGGTACGTACCAACAAGGTGAGAGATTAACATTTTTTGTCGTGTCTTTAAAAGGAAAAATACATCTCTGAAAATATGAAGGTAGTGACAATTCATGGTTTTTGGCTTCTTGTGCAACCCCCCACCCCCCTATTCTACCTTGCGACGGCACAGAAGTCCACCCGGAAGACGGTGGTGCAGGTGACGCCAGTCAAGGAGACTGTGACGATCACGGAGATCATCGAGGAGAAGGATATCACCAAGATGTCCGACATGGAGCTGTTGAAACTGCTCTCGCAATACGGCTTAAACTCTGGACCCATCATTGGTGAGCGCAGGGCTCTATCTCTCGATTGCCCCCCCCCCCCCCCCCCCGGCAGCACTTCAGTTGCAGAACGCAACAGAGTTTGCATTCATATGGTCTCGATGCACTTTTCAGCGTTCCATATTCGTTGGCGATAAGCCATTGGGAGTGGAAATACATGGATTAGCAAACCTACACAAGTGAGAGACATAGTTTTGATTGTAAAAAAATATAAGTGGGCTCAGCCTGGACATATCGGTGTAAGGGATGATGGACAGTGATCATGCAGCATGACTGAGTGGCACCCAAATGAGAAAGCCCACACAACTTGGAGATGGAGCGATGAAATCAGCTCATATGCAGGTGCTAGATGGATCGCTGCTTCTTGGGGAGGACTTCATGTAACAGTGGATTGATCATGGCTGATTTTGAGTTTAAAGTAAGATGCAACTGAAAAGATTTTACATTTTAATTGCATTTGTTGCCTGGGCTGTCAAGCACGTTTTTGAAACTTAATTAATAAATAGACGTTAGCTACTTACAGGCATTGACGTAGTGCTATTGTGATACATCTGCATTGATGCATTAAACCACATTGGAATAATCTCTCCAGTGCCATAATATTATACTTCACCATAAGCTTAACATCTTTATTGTCATCGACAAAGCTTGCTTATTATGTCAAATGGTCTGGGACAGACAGCCCTAGGGGGTGCAGGGGGGCATATCTAAGATAAGAGCCATTTGTTATTTGGGTCCGAGCTTCCTTTAACATGTGACATTGTTGGCTTGACGTCCTCCCCAATGGAAGACAAACAATAATAGAGTTGTGCTCCCCGCTAATTAACACAACCTAAGGGAAAGGGCCCAGCCCACTAATGGAAATGCAAACACCATTACACAGCCTTCATTGATTTTCCTTGTTATGCTCAAGATTTGGATAAGACAGGAAACATTTCCAGCAGTCTTTCTTAAAAAATGTAAACAGATTGTTTGCCAATTGTGAGCAGTTAACTTATGCCTCTTGTGAACCAACTCATGCTTGCTAACTCGTAATTCTGGCAAAGATGAATTATCTTTAGTTGCAGACGGTGTCTCTGGTGCTCCGTAAATGCTTTATGCCTTTCTCTAGGAGCTTTGTTGTTGTTTACTTAGCATGGCATATTGGCACTTTTGCATGTGCTGAGGCTCAGGGTTTTGGTTGTTTGATGATAAAATTGATATGAGTGTTTTGTGATAATGTACACAGCGGTTAGTATTTCAGGTGAAAAGCCCTTGGGCAAAGTCTGTTTACCTGACGTAGACTAAACAAGTGTTTAATTTTCTCAAGAAATGAAGTTGCATTTTTTTTGTGACCTTTTCATATATATGTATGTATATAAAAAAATACTTCCTGGTATCAGTTTTCACTTGATTCAAGCCTATAGTGGAAAATATTGTTGTCGACCTTGGTGCACTTTCTTCTCTTGGCAATGAAATTTAGACGAGTGGTTTAATTTTCAAGTTGGTTTTGGATGTCTTTTTTTTCCCCCTAAATTATACTGGCCGCATTCCCAAACCACGCTGAACACTTCAAACATCGTGTACATTTCCTGCTCCCTCTGCACTAGGGTGTGGAATTTTAAGCTTGGCTGAAGCCTCGACCAGTGAAACAAATTATGTCATGGTGAAACTTCCCATTTAGCAGCAGCTTTGTCTGACCGCCAGTGCATGTCCGAGATAAGGGCTTGCCTGTACCACACGTCCAGACACGTGCTAGAGTAAATCCCATTCACTGCCTCGTTAATTTGGTGCGACGTGCACAAAGACTTCCGCGAAATTATTTTAGTCGCTTGCTTAAATTGAACACAAAAAATTTTGTAGTAGTTTTTTTAACGTGCCACCTTGTTAGGAATGTATTTACTGTGCTACGTGCTTGTGTTTGGTCTAGCGTACCCACGTGACTGTCTAGATCCGTTATGTTTGTTTGGTTTTTGCTCGGTGGGTGGCGATCTTATGAGCAGCCACCACGCGGAAGGTGTACGAGAGCAAGCTTATGAAGGCCATGAAGGAAGGCACCCCGGCAACCAACACGAAGGCCGTCGAGGAAGCCTACAGTGATGACGACGACGAAAACAATGGGAAGGAAGGTACGGCCTTTTGGTTTTTAGGTGGCCAGGAGACAGGAGTATAGCGAGTGTTCGTGAGTCCATCTTTGCCATGGGGTTTTCTCCAAGCACTTCAATGTCACCTCCCACGATGTAGACCCTCATGAAAAAAAAATCTTACAACTCAGACTTACATGTATTAATAATTGGCTGTTACTAAATGGGGTGGAATGGCAGGGTAGTGGTTAGCATGCTGCTTATGAATGTGGAAATGTGAGTTCTATTCCTGGCCACGGCTCACTTGGGTGATATCAGAGCCCATCCTGGGTCTCAACTCCTTTTACCAACATGCACTGACCAGTGTGGTTCAGTACAGTCAAACAACCACCATTACTGTAGGGCATGGGGAGGCCTTCATTCAGCAGTGGAATTACAAAGGTCTGTAAAATAATGAACATACTTGTTAAGTGACCTCCGCATTTAAAAAGCGTGCAATTACAAGTGAGAAGTCATGCTAAATTTAAGGTAATTCATTTCCGTGGTTGTGTCGTTTGTTGCTTGAACGTGAAGCTGCAGAAGCCAAAGACAAGGAGGTCAAGGAACCAAAAGGCAACAGCATTCAGACTCCGCTGGCATCTCGCTCGACGCGGTCGGCCAAAGTCAAGGTGACCGTTGCCTGCTCCGTGCGCAATGCCCTCCACCCTGCTCACTGTTTCTCTGCTCTTCACCAACTGCCTGCTTCGTTGTTGGGTGGCGGAATAAACAGTGGTGACATAGCAAATTGTGTCTCGCAACAAGAAGGACGGAGGTTCGATTCCCGACTCGGTTACCTTTCTGTATGGAGTTTGTATGTTCTCCCCCTGTTTTCCATGGATGTTCTCCGCTTTTCTCCGGTGTCTAAAATAGCATACAATTTAACTGGTGTTGAAGAAGCATAATGTATATATGTCGAACTTCTTTCGCACCATACATACCCAACTGTGGTACCTGCTCTTTTCTCTGTAGTCCCCAGCCCCTTGCTTCAATGCACTGTGGTCCCCGATTCCTGCTCTCTTAACACCCTTGCTTGCCTCTCTGCTCCAAGATATCTGCTGCTTGGCCAATTCCACCAACTGCCTGCCTGCTTCCTGCTTGCTCCTGGTTTTCTTGCTCTCTTCTCTCTAATTCCAGCTTCCTGCCCTCTGATCCTTGCCTCCTACTCCCAGCTGCATGCTTCCTGCTCTTTGCCCTTTCTCTCGCTCCCCGTTCCCCTCTCGCTACTGCCTCGTCCCATTTCCCTTTCAGCTCGCTCACTGCAGTAGCCATTGGGCACACTGTCACGCATATACCATGCGTTTGTACTCAAGCTTGCGACCCGTGACACGTCCTGCTTGGCGCACATGTTTCAGGTGACCAAGGAGACCACCACGACCACCATGACCACCACAAGTACCATGAGCAAGCGATCTTTGAAAAACTTCAAAGAGCCATCTATAGAGGTCATGTCTTCTCCCAAAGGAATCAAGTGAGTTTTACTCTCTTTAAAACGTTTTTTTATCTATTGATTTAATGATTAGTTAGCAAGTCTTTTCACTCATTATAAATGTGTTCATAATGTCACCCTTATTTGTAAGAGGCTTTCAAGAGTTTCTGCTGCTGTAAGTTAATAAAAGGTCAATTTGGTTTCCTGCTCCGAGCAAGTATAGGGAGATGCCCATAATCACCTATTTACAGTAATGAGCCTTCAGAGAACTCTCTATTTCCATGGAATTAACATATACGATTTAAATATCCACAATAGTTGATACGTGTACTGAGAAACCTAAGAAGCGATTCTAATCGGTTCCCATCTCCCACACAAAAACCCCGCTTTACAACCCAAGATGACAATAGCGACTACGACCTCGCAGTTGCCCACGCCTGTTCCGCCATGTAACAACGCGATCCTCTGCCCCCCACCCCACAGCGCCACTCGGCGCCGGCCCCTGCACTCCTCGGCAGAGCCCTCGGCCCGCGGAGAGGACCTGCTGGTGCGCCGCGAGACGGTGACGGTGACTTCGGCCGCTCCCGCCTACGCACGAGCTAACGCACAGCTCGCGCCCGCCAAGCCGGTGCGTGCCACTGACAGCGGCACGGCGACGCGTGCCGTCGCCCACCGCCGCTTCCCCGTGTGGCTGCGCGTGCTGCTCGTGTTGGCACTGGTGGTGTTCCTCGCGCTGGTCTATGCCAACATGGAAAGCAACGAGCCCAAGCCTACTCCACCCAAGGATAGTCGGGACGTCTAACCTGGGTTTTTTTTTTTTGGGGGGTATTACGTACGTACAGTATATATATACTTTTTGTTAATTTTTACAAAAAAAAAAATGTTGGGTTTTTTTTTATTTTAATGACGTACCACTCTGCACGGTTTTTTTTGCCAACGGAAATTCAAAGCACACAGAAATAATAATCTGCCTTCCATTCACTCGGACGATGCCTATCTTGTTTTGCTGTAGTTCCAATATAGTTTGGTAGTTGGTTTAATTCATCACCAAATTGATAGCCAGTGGATTGGATACTGCAGAATTGACATCTTGCGATTTTTTTTTTAACATGGTCTCTTTTAAATAAAATGCATTAAGTGTTTCAGGAATCACAAAATATGATGTTACCCAACCGTTGTTTGTGCTAAATTCGACTACGTTTTTATCTTTTTAACATAAAGCGTTGCATCTCTAAATGTTTTGAAAGCGTATACGTTCGCAGTTGAGAATGTATATTTTGTAGGGAATTGGTGAAGCCTACGAATGTAGGAAAGAAAAAATTGTGAAAAAATAATGTTCCCGTATTTAACTGCCTTAAAACTGTTAACTGTGATCTGCAGAATGCGGACATGTTTTTGCAAGTGTCCAAAGTCATACTGCCTACCAGAGGTGGTGTATTTTAATGTATCCCAGTCACATGCAGCAGAAATTTGGGTTTGTAAGTTATTCGGCGATCGATAAGAAATGTTTTGGCTTTTTAAAAAGGGTGGTCATGTATTTTTTGTCTGCAAATATCAGAGTGCATTTGTTAAAATAACAAAAAAATAACAAAAATACAACTAGAGTACATTTTGTATTGTATTTAAAGATACTATATTGAAGATTTGAAGCTTTTTTTTACGACAACGTTGAATTTTAAATGATGAAATGCATGGTTTTTAAAACAATTGGTTACGTATTTAATTGGAGAGGATTGGCGCTTGCAGATGGGACAGATTTTAAGGACAGTTGGCAGCTATCCATATGGCATATATCGCCGCCTTGTAGTTTGGGTATTAGCATTGTTTGTGTACGATACGAGGAATTTTAACTCTAGTAGATTACATTTACTTTATATAACTTGTATTATGCTTCGTAGAATGATGCATCTTAACTGCTTGTAAAGAAATTCAAAGTGGCTTCTTTGTAAACGGCGTGTAACATGCTGAAACCAACCACTTGGCTTTTCTACTCTTTGCCTGTTTAACCTCAAGCCACACTCTGCCGTTTGGAAGATTGGGTGCATTCTCACGTCATGTGAAACGATGGCTAATGCGAATTTACAGAGGCGCACGCTTGTCTTCATGGGCATTGAAAGTGCCTAAATGCCGCTCTTAAGGCCAATTAACACATCCCGGGTTTTTCCTGATCAACTGTGCTCTCAGAAACATTTTTCCACAAATATATTTCAAGATCTGCGCGCTCACAAGTTATTGCTGGCCCTAGTTGGGGTTAATGGTAATTCACCAAAGCACAGCTTGATTTAAAATCGGAAGGGACTATTCCAGCAAGATAAAGGGCTTAAAGCATATTTAAAAGCAGCTTATTCACCTTTTGTAGATGTATAGGTAAGCTTTAACTTAATACACTTTTACAGTACACTTGGCACTTACATGCTTTTGAGCGGTTAACCATTTGGTGCCCGTCACATTCGATAAGTTGAAATTTTCATTTAAACGGTAGCACAAGTGGAAAGTGTTCCAGCTCAACACAGCAACCTGCCATTGCATGTGAGCCGCTGTTGCGTGCAGTGGCAGTCTCTTATCACGAATTATTTAAATGTGTACTGTTGAAATGCACTTAACATACCAAACAGTACTTGTATTTAACAATTTGCATTGCGAAACTGCAAACTCAATTAAGCATTTAAGCAAATTACCTGATGCGAACATGTCATTTGTTTCTGGAGTTGCCCTTCTCCATGTTACTCAAAAACGTATTTGTGGCGAAGTAACAATTGCACATTGGATTTAAAGTAACCTATACAATAATTATATGCTCAAAGTGGGAATAATTCATTATACACCTTTCAAGGCTATTTGTGTGGTGGTTGGTGCATATTTCTGGAAGTTGTACATCCGTGAAAATTTGCGTCTTCCAATTTCTTTACAACCAGTTGTCGCGTTCGGTTGCGCGCACGTATGTTAGATAAGATAAATGTGTTTTAAGTCAATGAAGAAGCAATACAACTTTCACAGAAGGTCACGTGGTGTCAAATGATGTTCATACTTTGCAGCTTAAGGTGTGTTACCTTGTGTGGGATTCCTAGGATAATGAGGATTTGTTAGGATTTGGAGAGAATGCCTGCAATGTAAGGTACTCTTGAGATTCCTAGGATCGTAAGGATTCCTATAGATGCAGTTAAGAGGGCCTGCTCAGGACCACACAGCCCCATCCAATCAATTTGGATTAAGAATGTTTTTTTTAGCATATAGAGTGAATCGCCTTACAAAGCAAAGTGTGAACCTAAATACATACGTCACCTAACAGAAGGATGAACTTGTGCCCGTTAATGATGGAATCACCTCCGGTGTGAAATAAGTTATACATACATACGAAGCTACAAGAAGCTTGTCACATTTTTTAACAATTTGTATGTAAAAATGTGTAAGAAAATCATGTGAATTACCTCTTATCATTTTGCAAATGATGACAATAACAACAGCAACATGTTTTAAACGCCGTGTTTCATTACTTAATTTTTTGTAATAGAGTTATTTTTACTATAAGAAAAATATCCAAAAAGATGGCTTCGTCTTATGTTGTGTTCCAGGCCATATAACGTCTCGTTAATGCCGCAATTCATTGTATTTTTTCACGTATTAACAAGTATAAAGCGTTATTGATGTTGAGATGTAGTACATGTGAAGTTGGTGGGAATGTTCAAATTTTTTAGAGATTGTACAAGGAAATAAAAAAAAGATTGTTAGAAGTTGTGGGCAACTATGGGCATTGATTGAACTCGTTATTGTACCTACTTTTAGCCGACTGCCACATCTGCTAAAGTGCATTTTTGTTTTAGCTCTCTTGAACTTTGAGCTGGAAAATACGTACAATTTATTAGAAAATCCGGGGTTGTGTTTTTTCTTCATTTTTTGTTAGCAGAGCAATTAAGAGAACACATGAAGTGAAAAATGCACTTGAGCAGCAGAGCTGTTTTAATACATGAAATGCGATTTTCAACCCTTCTGATTGTAGTTTTTACTTTTATTCTGTATACCAGACTTGTGTTTGTATTTTGTAGCCTGTATATGAAGCAACTCCAAAATATAGTGCTTTGTGTGAAATCTCGACCATTTATTTTGTCGTCACTTACTATAGACTCCGTACAACACATCTCGTGAAGGTGCTCGGGATTATTAGTATTACGTTGTGTGGGAAGCGGTGGGGCAGCGATTAGCGTGCTGCACTACGAACCCAGTGAACCGAGTTCGATACCGCTCACGGCCAGCACCAATGACAATTATCTGAACCGGTCCTGGAACTCCCCTAGGTCGACTCAGCCGTAAATGGGTACCTGGAGAGGTGTGTAAGCATCGCCGCTGGGGAGACAAAGACGGCCGGCCACGGTGCTGGCCACCCACCCCCTGGTGTGTGCCATGCCGGCTTTAATAGGTGCTCGCTAACAGCACTTGCCCCAACAGGTCAGGCTATATGGGGGATCTTTGTCTTATTGCGTTTCAGAATTGAGAGATGGCAACACCTTGTGGGGTAGTCCATCCAGGTGGATTAATCATGGCTCATACTGTATGTGCTTATTGCTGTAAATACTATGGGTTTATATGTACATTAAGCTCACGATACATGCATCCGATCGTGTGTGTGAAAGAATGTTTATTATTTATCCTGCTTGTGTTATATCGAAAAACAAGTGTTGGAACAGTGCTCCGTGCACTGCTCTATGGACCCGCTGATCAAACTTCAATTCGCGGTCACCGCTAACACCAGTGGCGAGTGATGAACGTACCATACGGTCCTGGTGTCCCCCTTCACCAACCAGCATAGTGAAGTACGTTCATGACCGACACAGCATGGGTAGGCCGTCGTCTAGCAGCGGATTGGTGGTGGACTGGAGGCGTTATTTCACTGTTGGATGTAACGGTTCCGCGTTCACCCATGCAGTCACCAGAGATGCTGCCCTTCACCCCAATACTCGTTGGTTCTTTCGGTAAAGTCACGTAGGTATAAAATAAATAAATGTAATCACGACGTTTCAGGTGCAACACAAGCGCCCGTCATCAGGTGGGACAACCACAGCAAGAAACAATTGCTGAAGTGGGCAAAAGGGCAGCTCTCAAAAGGGCAGCTCTCTTGCCTATATAGCCTCTTGGCAGCTCTCAAAAGGGCAGCTCTCTTGCCTATATAGCCTCTTGTTACAACAGAAAAAGGTTCCCTACCCCTGTCTTAGAGAATTCGTCACCTGGTTCTTTCGGTAAAGTCACGTAGAATGAGAATAAAATAATATTCTCACGACGTTTCGGCCACAACACAAGCGGCCTTCATCAGGTGAAGGGGACGAGACTGTGGAGGACAGCGCTGGAGTGAGAAAGCCACGCTGAGATCACGACCTTTAAGCTGTGTGAGAAGAAACAGTGCCTTGACAAAGGAATTAGCATATAATTTAGCATTGAAATGGCTGAGTGATTAGCTTGTGACTGGTCACAGAAAAGGCTATGTTAAAGTTAAAGCATACACATCTGCAAAGGCACCCCTTGACAAAGGAATTAGCATAGAATTTAGCATTGAAATAGCTGAGTGATTAGCTTGTAACTGGTCACAGAAATAGCTATGTTAAAGTCAGAGCATATACATTCACCGAGGCACCTAGTACAAATCAAACAGGAGAATTTAGCATTGAAATAACTAGGCGAATTTAGCATTGAAATAACTGAGTGAATTAGCTTGTGACGACACAGAAAAGGCTATGTTGAAGTTAAGGCCTACACATCTGAGCTATTCACAGTAACTGGGTATACAATACAATATATAATGAATACTATATAGTGAACCAATAAAAAAATACTAAAATATAAATTACCTCAATGTTATCAATAAACTCTATTCTCCAATCAGCTGAGCTACCAACAAGTCGTTATATATCACAATGCTATATGGCGAAAAATGGGTGGATTCTTACCCTCAACTTTAGCAACACGGATAGCTAGGGGTCCCGTTCAGACGGACGAGTTCATCCATGGTCGGAACAGAGGAGGGGGAGAGAGACAGCTGCGAGGCGCTGTTATACTCCATGTTGTAAACCATACCATTAACCGTGGTGTGAGAGGTATTAAGAGTCAATGCCAGCGAAAGAGCTGCGGTCTGAAGGTCATCGTAAAATACAATTAATTAAGAACGGAAATGGTTTAAAACATCTTTCCAATGGTTTCTAAGCCAGAATCCATCTTCTCGGTTGGAATTGTCTCTGTGCTTGTATATGTGAATGGCCTCATGAACGAATCTCTCATGGTAGCCGGTTGGTTTGCAAAGAACCTCCGTCTTGGAGAAGTCAATGTCATGTAAGCCCACTGAATTATAACAGTGATCTGCCACGGCAGAGGAGTTCGTTCTACCGTGTTTCAAGTCTGCTTTATGTTCGCGGATGCGGTCCGAGATATGTCGTTTGGTTTCTCCAATGTAGCTACTACCACAGAGGCACTTTAGTTTGTAAACGCCCGGGTACTGTATGTCTGGAACAGCATCTTTTACAGATGGAACTAGATCACGGATTTTATGTACTGTGTTGAATCGGACCTGGATCTTGTATTTATTCAGGATTTTGGAGATCTTTTTAGTGACCCCTGCAATGTAGGGTAAGGTGATGGTTTTGAGTGGCTCCACAAAAGGATCCTTCTTCATGACTGGAGTGATGGCTTTGCGGATTGTGTAGTCGGAGTAACCATTAGCCCTGAGAGCCTGGTGTACATGCTTGAGTTCACTGGTAATGTGTTCCTGGTCGGAAATGCATTGGGCTCTATGGTATAGAGTCTTGATGAGGGAGTTCTTCTGGGATGGATGGTGGTGGGAATCCGGTTTCAAGTAAGCATCTGTATGGGTAGCTTTCCTGTAGACAGAGTGGCTCATTGAACCATCATGTCTCCTTTTAATTAAGACATCCAAAAAGGGTAGTTTGCCATCTTTTTCGACCTCCATGGTAAATCTGATGGCTGGGTGTATGGAATTGATGTGGTCGCGGAATTGGTCTAGAGCAGGCTGGCCATGTGGCCAGATGACAAAGGTGTCATCCACGGTAGAACGAACTCCTCTGCCATGGCAGATCACTGTTATAATTCAGTGGGCTCACATGACATTGACTTCTCCAAGACGGAGGTTCTTTGCAAACCAACCGGCTACCATGAGAGATTCGTTCATGAGGCCATTCACATATACAAGCACAGAGACAATTTCAACCGAGAAGATGGATTCTGGCTTAGTAACCATTGGAAAGATGTTTTAAACCATTTATGTTCTTAATTAATTGTATTTTACGATGACCTTCAGACCGCAGCTCTTTCGCTGGCATTGACTCTTAATACCTCTCACACCACGGTTAATGGTATGGTTTACAACATGGAGTATAACAGCGCCTCGCAGCTGTCTCTCTCCCCCTCCTCTGTTCCGACCATGGATGAACTCGTCCGTCTGAACGGGACCCATAGCTATCCGTGTTGCTAAAGTTGAGGGTAAGAATCCACCCATTTTTCGCCATATAGCATTGTGATATATAACGACTTATTGTTGGTAGCTTAGCTGATTGGAGAATATAGAGTTTATTGATAACATTGAGGTAATCTATATTTTAGTATTTTTTTATTGGTTCACTATATAGTATTCATTATATATTGTATTGTATATCCAGTTACTGTGAATAGCTCAGATGTGTAGGCCTTAACTTCAACATAGCCTTTTCTGTGACCAGTCACAAGCTAATTCACTCAATTATTTCAATGCTAAATTCGCCTAGCTATTTCAATGCTAAATTCTCCTGTTTGATTTGTACTAGGTGCCTTGGTGAATGTATATCCTCTGACTTTAACATAGCTATTTCTGTGACCAGTTACAAGCTAATCACTCAGCTATTTCAATGCTAAATTCGATGCTAATTCCTTTGTCAAGGAGTGCCTCTGCGGATGTGTATACTTTAACTTAGCTATTTCAATGCTAAATTTTATGCTGATTCCTTTGTCAAGGGGTGCCTTTGCGGATGTGTATGCTTTAACTTTAACATAGCCTTTTCTGTGACCAGTCACAAGCTAATCACTCAGCCATTTCAATGCTAAATTATGTGCTAATTCCTTTGTCAAGGCGCTTTGTTTCTTCTCACACAGCTTAAAGGTCGTGATCTCTGCGTGGCTTTCTCACTCCAGCGCTGTCCTCCAGACAGTCTCGTCCCCTTCACCTGATGAAGGCCGCTTGTGTTGTGGCCGAAACGTCGTGAGAATATTATTGTGTTATTTTATTTTATCAATTTATTATTTTATTCTCATTCTACGTGACTTTACCGAAAGAACCAAAGAAGATGAATCCTTGCAGTCACGAAAGCTTTAAATCGAAATTTAATTCGTCACCTGGTTAAACTAACTCCAACAACACAACGGAGAGAGATATGCAGCACGGTCGTTCACACAAAAAAGCCCTCCGGAGTGGGTGTTTAAATGGCCTGTGTCAATACTTGCTTCAGATTGGACAACGTGCTGATAGAGAAGCTGTATCGTGTTATTCCGAGCACAAGGCATTAATTGTGCCGGGGACAGGGCTCCCTTGTACACACCACTGTACAGACATCTTTTCGTCCGGGACGTTATGTCCAATGACATTAAAAAAAAACTAGGTTTTTTTAATACAAAATTTAACTCTGCATTTTTACTTGGCAGTCAGTAAATCGACATTGGTGTGTCGGAGCGGTTCGTGGTGGCGACAGCTTGCCCCATCCCTGCACATTTCTCGTCGTCGGTGTTTTTCTCCCCCATGTTTTGGCTTAAGATTCGAACACCGTGAAGATTAAATATTCGCTCATCCGTGTACCGAAGAGCAGCTGGGCTTCGTCAACATGGTCTAGATTTTTGCATTGTCAGTTTATAGTTTTGCCGTTTTTAATCCAATTTATATATTTAGCAAAGTAACTCAAAAGGATGTGTTTGTGTAGAGATAAGTTAATGTGTCTCTAGCCCCAACACCCGAATACATGTGCGACGACATCTTATTGAAACATTTCAGTGTAAATACGTTTAAGCATGAGGGCAAACAAAGAGTAAAAGGCTGTTTAGTATCAGCCGTCCACCCACCTAGGAGAAGA